GTGTATTCACCTCTACATAAAACAGCATACCGCTTTTGTTGTCTACTTTTTTGATCTACATGTATGACATCCAAAAGTTGGCCTGCCTTCAAAACACTGGGTGAATTCTATAATCGGGAAAAAATTTAAAAGTTAAATGCCCATGAAAATAGTGACAGTCATCGTGAATCATTTGCTGCTTGGAAAGAAACTGAGCGCAGAACTCATCTTCAAAGTGGCATTGACGAAGAGCTGCAAAGGCAAATAAAGCAAGAAAAAATAAATGGAGAGATGTACTGCGACAGTTGCTGGATTGTACACAATATTTAGCTTCTCAGAATCTTGCATTTCATGGTCATACTGATGACATGACCTCAAACGAAAAACCTTGAAAATTTCCTGTCACTTTTGCAGTTATTAGCAAATTATGATCCAGTAATGAGAGAACTTTATAGAGCCTGTTAAAAACAAGCAAATGTCAACATCTTATCTTTCTCCTGAAATCCAAAATGAGTTTATAAATCTCATGGATTCACATGTGCGAAATTATTGTTTGTCAGCAATTCGTAGAAACAAATACTATAGTATTTTGTTTGATTCCGCACCTGATTTAGTCCATCGTGAGCAATTGGCCCAAGTGATTCGGTTCGTTGACATTGACTTTACGGCAAGAAAAGTAGAAGTCAAAGAGTCATTTATCAACTTTATACAGATAAAGGAAAAAGATGCTGCCAATATTGAGAAAACAATAAGCACAAAATTAGAAGCAGGTGGAATTTTATTGAGTGATTGTTGTTCACAATGTTATGATACTGATGCTGTCATGTCAGGTCATCTATCAGGCGTTCAACAAAGGTAAGGAACGCATTCCGCACATTATAGCAGGTATACTCAAAATCCAGTGTAGCTGTTTCTGTATTTTAGCACATCACGTATTGATTGCGAAATCTATGATACACATCAGAGAATACACATATTTTATGATACAGCACAGAGAAAACATAACACACAATATATATATGTAATGTTACACAACTGAGAGTACATGCAATATACATTTCATGTTTTTTCTTCTAAAAATGGAATCTAACACATTACTGAAATATAAAGCAAAGGAGCTGAAGAAAAAACTCAGTGAGGAAGAGATCCAGTTTCTTCTAAATGTGTCATTTTTGTCTGATGAAGAAGGCATTCTGTCAGAGGAATCTGATGTTGAAGAAGTTTCTGCTAATATTTCAATGCCTCTGACAAAATCTCTCTACAAAATCTAGAACCAGCTCTTCTTGATTCTCTCTCGTGGACAAATCAGGAAGTAGTTGGCAAAAGATTTTCATCAGTGAGGATGTTGTGGAATCACCAAAGTCAGGTATGTCAAGGAACCCTACACCACCACTACAGAAAAGAGGCAAGACAAAGAGGGGTAGGGGTAGAGCTACAGTACCTACTAGGACTGCTCCTTCCCAGCAAGAGGACTCTCACCTGCAGTGACACTTGGACCTGGGTGCAGATCACCGTAGAGGAACCTTCCCATGTACTTCCATTCAACAGAGGTGAACATGAGTCCCGATGGGTAACCTCTACAAATACAGTTATTGATTTGTTTAAACTTTTGTTCACTCTTGAAACTTTATATTATATTGTTATACAAATAAATCGGTATGCACAGTCTAAGCAGTCACAGCAGTAAGGTGGACAGTAAAATGGACTATGTGATTTGTAAAGATATTTTAGCATATTTTGGATTAACAATAGCTATTGAACTTAAGCTTTATCATTCTCTTTCCAACTACTTGTCTACCCATCTTCCTTTCTATACTCCTTTGTTCTCTAACATCTTCTCTAGGAACAGGTTTTTAGCTATCCATACTAACTTACATTTCAATAACAATACTAATACTCTTCCTAGAATTGACCTTAACTATGACAAACAATTTAAGGTTAGACAGTCTACTAAACTCTTTTGTTTCCCATTACTCTCCTAACAAGGAACTAACTATAGATGAACAAATGTTGGGGACAAAATGTAAAATTTATTTTCTCCAGTATATACCAAAGAAACCTGTCAAGTGGGGTATCAAGTTGTGGTTCCTGGCAGAAGCTGAGAGTGGATATTGTCTGAAAGTCTACACAGACAAAGAGGGACATATGCCAGGTAGAGCAGGGGTGACCAACTCGTGTCTCTTCAAAAGCTAATACGCAGCTCCATATAAAGACATATTTCACTATGCCTGTAATTTAAAGTAAAACATTTTGACTTAAGGAGTAAAAGAAAACTATGAAAACATGTAGTTAAAAGGTTTAATTGATTTTCCATTATATATAAAATAAGAGCATTTTGGTCAAAGCAACAATATTTATATTCTTTCATAAACTAAAAGCATTTGTATTGTCCAGCACCACTGAGGCTCAGTTTCATCTCTGACTTTGTCAAAGTTACTTGCATTCTTCTGTGGCAAAAGAGATTTTAGATAAACAAATTTATTATTTCCCAATTAGATAATGGAAAGTAAATGAAAGAGAAAATAACACTGAAGAAAATCAAGGCATCCATAATGACTGGGAAAATAAGTACTTTTTCATTGAATGTAAAAGGCAATGTGTCTCCTTTGTCAGACTTGCATATCTCAGTTTAAATCTTCAAACTTGCAATGTCATTTTGCTTTAAGCCATGCATCAAGACTTTCCATAAATTTCAGACCTCTTCACTTTAAAAGTAAAAACTTTGAAGAAACAAATGGATGTACAAGGGCTAGTTTTTACCAATTTTGCTAACTCCTCGCAGACTGCAACATTAGCCTTGTACCAAGTGGCCTGGAATATAGCTAGAGAAAAGGAGAGTTTATTAAGATGTGCCTAACTGACGTTGTTTCAATTCTTTCACCAGAAAACAACAATCACCACAAAAAATTATCTGATCTGCAACTGTCACACCATAAAATCGAATGCAGGATTTCTGACATAAACAGTGAGATTGAATCACAACTGCACTCACAACTTCAGCAGGGTGAATTCATAAGCATTGCTTTGGATGAGTCATGTGATGTGTAAGATAAGCCTCAATTATTAATAACTGCATGAACAGTGTCTGAATTCCATGTAAGAGTTCCTTGATATCATATCATTGAAGGAAAGAACTCATGGACTAGATATTAAACAGGCTCTTTATGTCAGTAGTTGCAAAAGACAATTTGCCTTTACAGTAGCTTGCTGTAA